TTTCCTACCAGAACTAAAAATGGTGAATCTGTTGAAAGATACCTTTTTTAATATTAATGATATGAACTATTCAGTCCTGAGGTTATAGACATTTGGGGATAGTACATTCCATGTTCATTAAAACTCTACTGGTTTAGTCTAATGATTCCCCCGCCCTGACCCCTGCTAATTTATACATCATTGGCCCCTCAAGTCTGCATTAGGCCCTTCTGGTTGATTCCATTTGGTGTAGAGTTAGATATAGTTCACTAATTTGTAAAAGAAACCATCCTGTTTTCACTCATTTGGATTTGGGCATTTTCTGGCCCTTCTCTTGGCTCTGAGCTCCATAATTACTCCATTACCTTGAATAACTGAGAGTTTATTATTTAGGAAGTTTGGGGATTATTATGAATAACCCACACCCATCCTTTGCAGATTGAGATCTACTAATTAGCATCAGGTCCAGGCAAAGGGCCCTGTTGGGAGGGACCCTGAGTACTGACTGGGGATCAGAGTTGAGTCATCTTCCGGGTGAGTCAAGTCCCCATGCAGGGTAAGGGAGTGTCAGAAAAGGACGGCTCAGCTCTTGCCCGCAGTCTTTATTCCATTCACTGTCATCCACACTCCCAACATGCCTCTACTCAAAGGGGCAGAACAGAGGACTGGAGGAGGAGGACAGGTAAAGGCTCCACTGGCCATTCAGAGATGGGTTGAGAGAAAGAGAGAGAAGAAAAAGAGAGGGAAGCATTGGTGGGTGCCTACATAATTCATCCCACTTCCATCCAATCTTCCGATCAGTTTCTCAAGATTAGGTGATTCCTCCCCTTTCGACATTTTTTTTTTCAGTTAAACCTTGAGGACAAAAGATATTTCTTTAACACCTTAACAGTTAGGAGGTCTGAATTTAGACTCTCCATTACTGGACTTTTGAATCTTGAAAACACTCATTTGACTACTTGAGTTAATGTGACTACAACAGGTGTTTGAGTAGCTATCATGTGCAAAGCACGGGGATAGAATGGTGAATACTTTCAGTCTCTGTCTGGGAGGAGCTTGTGATCTAGAGTGAAGGTAAGAAACAATTGTAATAGTGTGCTGGAAAAGCCATGCTGGATGACAGAGGCGGCTATACAATCCAGATTGGGAGGGGGTGTGTGTCAAAGGCTATGACATTGAAGATAAGACTTGAGGGACATAGAAACAGCAGTGAGGGTGGGAGACAGATGCTGGCTTTCCATCACTGTGATGTGTGACACTGGCAGGGGGTCAGTCTTCCCTGAAGGTGCCTGGGTGGTCTACATGAGTATGACTTCTCACCGCAGGATGGTTTGGAGTGGTCCTCAAGGCTCAGAGAAAAACAAGGTTATTTTTAGTTAGAAGTGGACTGCCACCTTTCCTACAGTATATGCCAGGACTTTGGGACCCAAACTCAAGAAACATTAAAGCTACTTCCTTGTTTCCTTTTCTTCCTCAGCAAAGTAGAAACTGGAGGAAAAATAAAGGAAGAGTTGTTTTGAAAACATGTATGCTAAGGATTTAATGTATTCTTGCTATTATTTAAAACACCATGTTGTCTGTGTTATATTAATTACTTATAATCTTTCCTGCTGAAAACAAATTTGCATAATGTCTTTCAGAAAGACATAACAGCCTTATGGCAGGGAACACTATGGATTTGTTGTGAGGGGTTGGGGGTTGGGAGTGCATTGGAAATGGCACATTTGGTCCTGGAAGCGGAAGGATCCTCCCATAAAGACTTTTGGAATCCAAAACGAGGTTCAGAAGTGGCGCTGGAATTGCAGTACTAGTCCACACACTTCAGCACTTGAGGTTTCATTCTCTATAGGTGTAAAACATTGTGTTCCTATATTCCCAAATCATTTATTGAGCATCTACTGTGTGTCTATACCTCCCTAGGCGTAGGGAATGTACAGAATAATCAGAATTGATTCTCCGTCTTTGACTGAGAGTTTTGGAGGGCTGGCTCACATGCTGGTAGAAGAGGATGGTCCAGTCAATGGAAAGAGCGAAGTGCTCTTGGCAACATAAGGAGACAGAGTGGAGAACCAACCTGGGAGTCCCACTGGTGGACAAAAACATGGAAGGCATGCTGGGAAGGTCTAGTATCTCTAAAGTGTCTCTAACACCCTATGCTTTAGTGTACAGATACATGACCTTGCTTCATATCCTAGTGGCATTTGTTTGAGCTTTCAGGAAAATAACACTATGAAGGAAGGAAACAGAATTCAGGGACTTTGACAGGATTTCCCTTTTCTTTAATTGCGTTCTCATTTTCATTGCTATTGGTATCTCTGAATGCAGAACAGTCTAACTAAAATAATAATCTTTTAAAAAAGCTTTTTATACAAAATGTTCAACCATACATAAAAAGGCTGGAAAAAAATCAATGAACTCCTTTATGGATCACCTGCTTTGGTTCCCTCTATAGCCTCCCCCACAACACATACAGTTTTTCTTTGGCTTTTGCTGGAAATTTTTAAAGCAAATTCCAGGCACCATTTAATTTCATCTATAAATATTTCAGTAGGAATCTCTATCAAAGAATAGCTTTTATTTTCTTTTGGTATCATTAATATACACATTACATGAGCAACACTGATTACTAGACTCCTCCCATTATCAAGTTCCCCCACACACCCCATTACAGTCACTGTCCATCAGCGTAGTAAGATGCTATAGAGACCCTACTTGTTTTCTCTGTGTTGTACTACCTTCCCTGTCCCCCCACTACATTATGAGTGCTAATTGTAATGCCTCTTTTCCCCCCTTATCCCTCCCTTCCCACCCATCCTCCACAGTCTCTTTCCCTTCATAACTGCTAGTCCATTCTTGGGTTCTGTGAGTTTGGTGCTGTTTTGTTCCTTCAGTTTTTGCTTTGTTTTTTTACTCCACAGATGAGTGAAATCATTTGATACTTGTCTTTTGCCACCTGGCTTATTTCACTGAGCATAATACCCTCTACCTCCACCCTTGTTGTTGCAAATGGTAGGATGTGTTTTCTTCTTATGGCTGAATAATATTCCATTGTGTATATGTACCACATTTTCTTTATCCATTCATCTACTGATGGACACTTAGGTTGCTTCCATTTCTTGGCTATTGTAAATAGTGCTACGATAAACATAGGGGTGCATGTCTTTTTCAA